GAAAGGATAGTTTAATATATTTATTCTTCACACAGCATTAAAAAGTGACCTTGTGAATATTTTAATGCTAACATTTTCAAGTTCTAGAAAATTCTACAAATGTATTTAACATATCCTGTTTTTTAATAGAGGAGGACTAGTGAGAAATATGTCAATTCAATATTAGTGTGGAAAATTATATTGTATATACAAGTTCACATCCAGAAAGATTCTTGGTGTCATGAAATCCAGTTTCTTTTCTGGCTGGTAAAATATGGAAACTGTGGTGTCATTTCCCTTAATTTATAGTGAAATAACTATTGCCCCAGCTTAGTATTTTTTAAAATGTATTTTTCTTCTTCCTGTAAAAAAATATTTTTGAAATTCTGCTCAAACAAAAAGAGGAAATCAAAATCAACTATAATCCTACTATCCCCAAATTGCCACTGTTAAGTATTTGGTCCACAGAACCAGAATTGGTTTTCTCTATTTAGGTTTTGTTTCCTTTAATAAACTTTTGTGGCTTTTTAGGGCATGAGTCCTACACATTTCTTGTACAGTTTATTCCTAGATATTTTGTTTTTGTTTGTTCTGTTGTAGTTGCTCTTCTGAGTGAGAGCTTTCCCCATTATGTTTGAAATAATTATGAGATATTTATTATGTAACTGAACACTTTATTTAACTATTTTTGTTAACTTTAATAGTTTTGCTTTTGGTTCCATTCATTTTTTCAGGACAATATTTTCATCTTATGCTGACTACAATTCTATACAATGTATAATGTTTCATAATGGAAGTAATATGTACCATTCTGCTTAGAATTTAAAAGAGAATTTTGCATGTTAGAAAAATATTGCTTAAACCAGACTTTGGCCATAGTATTTGAACTCACATTTGAAATGAGATCTTTCATATGAAAAAAGATTATAATATGATGCTACATCCAAGATATTTTTTCATATTGGTATTATTCTCACACTGTTTGACCTGGCAGAATCCCTATCACTTTTGAAAACTTATCTTCATGGGGTGATTGGCTAATATACATATCTACACAGTTAGGCAGTTTAGAGTTAACAAACTATCCATGCGTTGTACAATTTTAAGCCTAAGTACAACTGAGATTTTCTTCCTTGATGTATTAAAAGAGATTTTCTTAGGAAAGAGAATACAAATTTTAACACTGTAAAAAGATTGCCTTGTTATATAAATGATCTCTTTGCTATTTTTTTCTCATCTCTAGAGAAGTCCTTCTTGCTTACCTACCCCATAGAGACCAGTTGAGGTCATGTAGTTTTTAAAGTTTAGATTCTCTATCAAATCTGTAAAAATTAACTTTATATTAAAAATCTTTATTCAATCCTCTAGCTACTGCGAAGCTATCATTATATTATATATCAAAACGTTCTTCCTACACTATAAGAAACTTCTCATAAAAATATATTATTTTAAAATATTTTCAGTAATTGAGTAGATCTAAAAGGTTTAACATTTTGATAATACTCATAAGTGGTTTCTAAAATGTCACATAATGTGAACATGGAATTAATTTCTAAAACTAAGTGCTTTAAAATTATTTAACATGGAAAATTCTGTTCAAGTAGCTGTTACTCTGTCAAAAACATTTAACTGCCGGCTGAAGTAGCCACTTTGAATTTCAGTAGTAAGCATAAAATTGAAATGGCCTGGATGACATATGCTTGTTTGGGAATCAAGAACTGTTTGTTTTAGTACAGATTCATAATCTCTTATCTGAAGTCTGTGGTGCCAGATGTAGTTTTGATTTTTCAGATTTTTAGAAATGTAATATAGAGCATATGCCCTATATTATTTAAAACTGATGGTATCTGGGTAGCACCCCATAATTAAACACATTAACACTTTCGGATAAATGTATGAATGTCCACATTAAATAAAATAAACTTTGGTGTGGGTCAAGTTTGCCACCAAATGATTTCAGCTCAGGTTGGATTTGGACATACTGATTATGATATATACCTTCATTTTCAGAGATTTTTGTATTATGAATATGAGATTTTGGACTTGAAGTTCTCTGATCTTGGTCATTTTTCTGGGCTGTCAATCATCTCATATGCTAAAATGAGAAGTTAGACTAAGTGAATTATATGTGAACTTTTCAGATTCTAAATCTAATGTCTATTTAATTCTCTGATATAAGAAACACTACAACTGTCAGTCTTATATTATTCCAGTTTAACAATTATTTAGTTCAGAGATCCTCAACATCCCTGAAAGGTAAGTAGTAATTATTTGTGCTTTATATATAAATATTAAAGAATGTAGGTCTCTAACATAACATAATAAAATAAAATTTAAAAAAAGATGTAATTAAAAAAAAAAGAATGTAGGTCAAGAAATGTTTTTGTTTGGTCTGCTATATAGTCGCAGCCAAACTAGATTTCAAGTTCATGAAGACAGAATAGTTTTTGTCTGCAATTTTGATTTCCAGAATGCATTCTACTATAAATTTCTTATGGTCATAATTAATATTTGAAACATATAGAAATGGTGAGAAATGTTGTGTGGACTTCATGACTTTCCTCTGAAAATCTGAAAATCTAGCAATGTTAGACCAAGGTAACCTAAAGGGAGTCTGCAAAACCCCACTTTATTGCAGGGCCTCAATCTTGCAATCTAAATCCCCCCAAAATGAGTCCTAAATCTGAAGGGGCTGGGCTCCCCACTGAGGAAAAACCTAAAGCTAGTCAATGAGAGAACTGGCAACGTCTCTCCAAGATGGAGATAACAAGCTCACAGTCAAGTTCTGGGTGGGACATGGAGATGAAAACTAGAGGTGAGACTCAGTCAGCCAGAGCTTACGGACTAGCTGCTAAATGCAGCATCCATTTGTTTTGGATACTTGCTTTATTTGTGGTGTACTTTTGTTAATAAAAAGAAAAAAATGTATTTGATTATCTTTGGGCATGGAATGCTCTTTAGTTTTCCATGTTTTCTGCACTTCCTATGGTTGTGTACCTTGTCACTCTCTCATTGACGTGATGGCCTTCGAAGGCATGTAAATGTGCCATTTCTGCCTGTGTGCTACACTATTAAGGCAGACTTTTGAAAAGTGAAAATTTATTGTTGGAGAGGGAGGCTATAGTATGGACTAAGGAATTGGTATTGCAGCCCTTCCGGGGCCTACAAGACATTGAGCTACTGCCAGCTACCTTTTATTCATTTTCTCAAATAATACTTCTTGAGCATTTACTACATGTGCTGGGCACTGGGGATGCAATCAGAAGACACACATAGGCCACAAGTCTATGGAGGAAGATGGACATTGAATCAGTAAGCATGGAGATGTGAAGACTGATATAAATTATAATGTTGAAAGGAAAGAATGGGATGAGAGAGAAAAACAAGGAGTTCTCTCTTATTTAGATGGAAAAGTCTGGTTAGGTCTCTGAGGTTTAGCTGCAAGCTGAGTAGGAACCAGCCAGGTAAAAAGAGGAAGGAAATATCTTTAAGGTAGAGAGGACAGCAAGTGGGAAGGCCTTAAGGCAAAATGAACTTGGTATACTTGAGAAACAGAAAGACCAGTGTGGTTGGAATGTGTGAATGAGATGAGAATGGGGAGATGAACAAGGGCAAGATCATGCAGGACCTTATAGGCCATTTAGGGCACTATTTTAAAGGATAATGGAAGCCGTCGAAGGGATTCAGCAAGGTCAGACTAGAGTTTTTAAAGAGGTTGCTTGGGCTACTGTGTGAAGAATGGACTCTAAGGGCACAAAGTAGAACTGCTGCTGTCATCCAGCAGGAGGTGATAGTGGCTTGAGGCAGTGCAGACTGACAGGTGAAAATCTTCCCCCGCCCCCAAAAGAAGAATCCTAATGGATAGGATGTAGATGTGAGTAGAAACCAGACTATAGGGAGGATTGTCAATGTTATTGAAGGCTTAAAACAAGAATTCCCTGACCAGAGACTCTATGGGAGCCACACACTGGATTTTATCGCTATATTCTGAAAGCTGTTGGGCAATCACCATGATTCTTGGTAACTTGGAAGAGTTTCCAAAAATCAAGTACTTGTGCTACTTTCTTTTCCATTTAAGAAGACTTAGGTTACAGCAAAAGCCACTAGACATGAGTAGTTGAACCTAGTGGATATGGAACAAAAATTTATGAAAAATGGTACTGTTACTTAAAGCACCATTTGACTAGTCTGTTGCCCTGTAGGTGCCCTAAAAAGATGTCAGTTTAGTTTGGTGCTACTGCAGGTTGGGTTCTCAGGAAGGAGATGCTGAGGCAGAGCTTGGGTGCTAAATATTCATTAGGGATCCATACCTGTGAAAAGAAGAAGGAGGAAGCAAGATTGGGCAGATGAAAAAGTCAGTTTCAATGCAGGTCCAACAAAGTCCGGGTCAACCCTGCAGGGAGCTCTGGATGAAATGTTGCCCATCAGGGGGACCCACATTGGGTCCATACTGGTTGGACTTTAAAATCCTGTCTTGCTCAGTCATTGGGTATAGGCTGCCCCAGCAGTGGTATAACTTTGGACGAGTTTACTCTTTGAAACTGAGTCAACTCTGAAAGAAGGGACAGCTGGGCATCGAGTGCTTTCTAGAAGTGGATGGCACATCCGAGCATCAGCCACAAAGGCTGATTTGCTTAACAGTAGTAGTGAGTCACTTCGGCCGCTGCTTTATTTTTTAATTTATGTAGTTTTTTTCCTCCTAGGAACTCAGGATAAAACATACACAATTTTTTAATCACAAAATATTTATCAGTCACTGAGACAATCCAAGAGAGGAGGATTAAAATGTCAGAGGTTGGAAGGAGACACCAAGAACAGGAAAGGAATGGAGGGAAAAAACTAATGGAAAGAAGCTTCTAGAACTTGGAGAAGCGAATTTTAGTAAATACAAAGAGTTATAGCACCCAGTTGTGGGCCTTGTTTTAAAAAAAACACTATGATTATCACATCTTTAAAAACGTTTGGAAAATAATATTGTGAAATTTTAGCTGTCTCTTGTTTCTTTGACAGATACGGAGGACTTGAATAAAAGAGACCAACCATTCATGGCAATTCAGAAAAACAATAGCTCAGGTATTTTTTTTCTACTTCCAAATCTGTTCTATGATTTATAGTGGATTATGCATGATGTAAAGTTGGAATGTTGATTTTCAAAATTTTAATGGAAAGCTCATTGTTTGGTCATACTGAAGGTTTCTCCAATTCCCTTACAATGCATGCTTAAATCTTCAACAGCGGTCAAGATAACAATACTTTCCTTTACTGTGCTTGTCCTTGAATCATTTGGAGTCTACTTAAAGTCATGTGACTCATGATATACTTAATCTCAATCACTTTATATGGTACAGATTAATTATTCATATAATTAGGGCAAAGATGCATTTTTTTTTGCTTGAATTACTCAGATTATTATACTTTATGCTACTTGGCCTTTGAGTACCTTCTACTTATGTTTTACTTTATCAGAACAGCAAATATCATACTAAAATAGGACATTTTATGTATTTGGATGGAGAATGCCTACCTGAAAATTTTATATCATTTTATTCTTATTTGGCCCATTACATTTTTTAGCTTTCAGTTTCAACCTTTTTTCAAATTTACTTGAAATTATTTTATTTCAATTTTTTCTGTTAGAAATGCAGTTATGACTTTAAAAATCTGATTAATTTGATTCATAATAAGATGATACTTAAATATTCACAGTTGATGCCTAAAACTTTTTAAATAAAAAGAATGGCCACACTTTGTATCTTGACATTAATTTTCTAAAATTCTCAATATACTTACTTAAATGGAAATATTTCCTTTATGTTCTTTTAGAAGTAATTTTATGCAAGATATATAGTGGTAATTATTTTTAAAGTTTCTAAAGATAGAGGTTCAAATATACTATGAATGTTGTAATATTTTTTCTTGTTTTTGCTTAGACTTCCAATAATATGATACTATTTCCTTGTCATTTTCTGTTTTTAATGAAAAACAGATAATCTGGTGTTCCGAATGAAAAATGGAATGAGGAGCACCAAGTATAAACCAGTTGACTATCAACGGTTGCAAGCATTAACGGAAGCAAAAAAATTAGCTTCTGCTTCTGTAGAGCTAAAGGTTAGAAATGTGTATGTGTGCATGTGTGTTTTCTAGTTTTGGAAAATTGAGTTTCCAGGAAGTAAAATTATATTTATAATGTAAATGTGAAAATAAATGACATTCTAAATAGTTTTTAGAATCTTCCAACTATTAATAATAGTGAATAGCAGTTAACGTTTATTGAATGTTCTGACACTGTGCTATATAGTTTACATGCATTCCTCAGTTAATGTTCATAACAACCCCGAGGTCTTTACTTTTAGAAAGCTAGCTATTTTATTAGTGTTCAACAATTTCTAACTTACTCTGAAAAATAAGAATTGCAAATAAGTGCCAGCCATGGATTATCATCTGATTTAAGGCTCCTTTTGCAACACGATGTAAATATGCCTTCAGATGCCTCTCTTTTCTACAATTCCCTTTTTTGCCCTAATCTCAGAAAAGGTGAACCTGGACTAGATTTGAAAGGGGTTTATGTGCAAGTGATTGTGCACAGTATTTTAGGGCCTTATATGGTTTAGGATTACTCATGCAGTATGTTTCTCTCTTGTGCAAATAATAAAGTACATTATAAACAACATTTTCATTGCTTGGTTACATTAAAAATCTGATTTGGCAAAGTGACATATTAAGTAATTTACAAGTTTTCATTTGAATTTAATATTTTTGTGCTACATTAGTTTTGCATCGCTTTTTTTAAATGTCTTTTTAAAAAGGCAAATATTATGATTCCAAAGCACATTTTGTACCTATTCTAAAGACGTGACTACCTATCCATGAGATATATCCCCTCAAACTAAAGAGATTTCTTAAAAAGGGCCTTATTTGTTAAGTTCAGATATAACTTTAAAAGAATTTGATGTTGTTCTCAGGACATTGAAAGAAATTTTATGGGAAAATCACTTATATAACTATCATCCTAATAAAACTATTTTCATATTTCTGACTTGTATTCTGACCCATTGTATATACATCACATTATGCATACATATATAGACATGAACATATACATACATATTTTATTTTTCCCATGATAAATATAGACATGAAATCCTGTTACTTCCCCCTAACACTTTGCCACATAATCTTTATAATATTTATTTATTATATGATATTTAATTACTCTCATAAATAAATATTTATTACTTGGCTCAATAATATAATAATGAGCAAAATACATCCCCTACCCTCATGGCATGTACTGTTTGCAGGAGAAGAGGAGGAAAGTCAGTGTTAATCAAATAACAAAAACATGCTGTCTGGTCTTGATCCTAGTTGAGTGGGAAGGTTTTTTTGAGGCAATGACATTGGAATTGGGATCTCAAGACCAATAAAAATTAAACCAAAACAGGAGTGGTGAGTACTTCAAATAGGAAAAGACACATGCCTTACCACATTCTGATTTTTGGATATTTGGATTGTATCCAGTTTTACAATATTGGGAATCATACTTTGGTAAGTATCTTCATGCAGAGACACTTTTCATGTTTTAGAATCCTTCATCCTCATAGGATAAATTCCCATGATTGGAACGTTTGGGCCAAAAAAATATGAATGTTTTTTAAAAAGTTCTTTCCCAAAGTGTTGTTCTAATAAAGATACCACCACAGATACTTCCTCTACACCCTGTCAGTATTGGAATATGTACATATATATTCATATATATATATATACATACATCTTAAATATTATCTATGTATCTGTCCATCCATCATGTACCAAAAAATTTTTTTTGGCTGAATGTAGAATGGTTGAGTGTCAAAACTCAGTGCTTGGTCACAGTGAATTTCTCTGTGGTTAAAGAATCACTCTCAAAGAATAAACATGTTTAAAATTTTTAATTATTGATGTGGCTTTCAATTTTTGATATTAAGTGCAAGGGCAATAATTTCTCATCCCTGTCAGCTGCTAGATTGCTTCTCTGGTCACTGTGTTACATATTTGTGAGACTAAACAGATGATCACTTTCAACTGACATTTTAAGTAACATCAATAACCTTTTTTGTTCATAGGATATAATTCAGGAAGAAGCTTTTTAGTTACATATTTTCTGGAAATAACTGTACCTGGGATTTATAGCTTGGCAAACCTCAAAAATCCCTTGTCTTCAACTACTGAAAATGGCTCACCGTCTGTAGCAATCATTTCAATAAGCTTTTTGTTTCCATTTTTAGTCTCCATAGATTCATAATGATAAGGAATTGTCCTGTTAAGGCATTTTTATAGTATCTGTTGTTTTGAATTTCAGTTAGTGAGACCAAAATGTGTTCGGGATACCTCACCATTTTCTAATACTTCTTTCCTTTTACAGTTTTCATTTTTTAGTATAGCTGGATTAAGAAAGATATATTGAGAATGTTTTTTCATGTGATTTTTGATCTTTTCTTCTCATTTAATTTAGAGATAGGAAGTTGACATTTTGCTTTTAATTGACTATTATAAAATGTGAACAGTTCCCAAATAGGACTTTTCCTTGAAAGATTCATGGCTAAAATGGAATTAGATAATAGGAAATTAAGTATAATTCTTAAAGTTTATTTTGTTAAATGTTATGAATGCTAATATATATACCAACTAGCCTACGCCAACTAAGATTATGATTATAATATCATCTCTGTTACTCTTATATTGTTATTTACATTTTTACAAAATATGCATTGGCTCAAGAAGAGTATTTTTTCTTCCTAATGTTACAGAGTTAACACATTCTTTCAATATTTGTATTAAATATCAGTTCATCTCCTACTTTTTTAACTAATTAAATGTGTTCCTTTCTTGCACATGAAATTAACAGCTTTAATAATCATTGTTAATTATTACAGCAGTATACTCTGGCAATATTAAATGTAAACATACTTAAACTGAAGGATAGAATGTTAACATTTAAAGCACATAAAGGAGGTGTTTGCTTCAAGTTGGATCCAGAGTACTTAGTTATATTTGAAGAGAAATTAACAATAATTATTTTCTTATAATAATTATTGTTAATTACTAGTAAATTCAGAAGACTTGCCTAGTTTCTATTCCTGGTATTGGTATATTGATCAGATGTGTCTATGTCATTGATCATGTACAAGTTGTGGGCTTCCAGATAAAGACACTAATGTGAACATAGAGTGATCTAGTCTTTCACAGGCTGAGATTGAACCTGAAGTCAAAGAGTAGATTTGGGCTGGAAACTGAGACCAATTTTTGGTACATTATATGTTAACTATTCATTTCTAATTTAGGTTAAGTATAAAAGAGATCTTTACAATTATTTTTATTTGAATTGCTTTGCTAAGCAAGAATGAATATTTCTTGTTGTCCAGCTAAGTTTGTCTAGTCATCCTTTTTTAAAAATATTATCAGAAATTGTAAGCACATGCAAATTTAGAGTGAATGATTGATCTCTATGTAATTTATCCTGTTTCATCTATGATCAACTCTTGGCTATTGTTTTCTCTATACTCCTTACCACAACTTTCCCCTGTGCCAGGTTATTTTGAAGTAAACCTCAGGCATCATAATATTTAACCATAAATATTTCAGCATGTATCTCTAAAAGATGAAGGCTAAACAGTCCCACCCCAAACCCTATAATACCATTACCATTAGAATACTAATAATTTCTTAATTTCAAATATCCAGTGTTAAATTTCCATGATTGTCTTCAATTTTTTTACTTAGCATTTGTTCAAATCAGTATCTAAGTAAGATCCATATATTACAGTTGATTTTTATTTTTTAGGTTTCCTCCTCTATCCTCTTGTATTTTTGTAATTTATTTTTTGAAGAAATTATATTGTTTGTCTTTTATATTTTCTTACAGTCTGGATTTTGCTGATTACATCATGGTGGTGTCATTTAACATGTTTTTCTGTCTCTTGTATTTCCAGTAAATTGTTAGTTATATCTGGAGATTTGATGAGATCCAGGTTCAATTTATTTTGACAGGATCACTTATTGATGGAATTTTTGTACTGCAGTCTTTTTCCATCACAAATAGTGCTACAGTGAATAGTTTTGTTCATTTATCTTTTTATACTTTTGTCAGTATAGTCTTCAGATAGATTTCTATAAGTAAAGTTGCTAGGTCAGAGGGTAAATCCATATGAAATTTCACTATACACCTCCAGATTCCCTTCTGTGGGAGGCTGCACCATTTTGCATTCCCACCAGCAACAAGAAAGAGTATGTCTCCCTATAGCCTCACAGTGTTTTGTGACACATCTGAAGTTTTGCTAGCCTGATAGATGAGGAATTGCATCTTAGTGTAATTGGGTTTTTTTCTTTTTATTTATGTTAACAGTTCTTTATACGCTTAACTGTTCTTTTACCTTTGTTGAGGTACAACTCACACATAGTTAAGTGCATAGATCTTAAGTGTACATCTCAATGAATTTTGACAAATGTATATACCTATGTAACCAACATTTAAGTTGTCCACTAGTTACTGTTGCTTACATTTAAAGATAGGTCATCTGGCCCAAACGGTTTTCATGGCATTTCAAGGTGCCTATTTAGATTCTTACTATCTTGGGTCATCACAATAAACCACATAGGAAACCTCTAGTTTCTTATTCCTTAATGAATTTATTATTTTTGCTATTTTTAATTCATCAGCATTCTGCATAAATCATCATCCACCTTAAATATTGATTTCATATGGCTTATTGCCCAGCAAAATACATTGGAACCACCTAGAAATCTCTCTATTGATAAAGATACAACTTTAAATCTTTTTGTTCTTTTAAGACTTTATTTTTCTTCATTTTTGGCCTGAGGATAGAAGTGGAGTCAACGAATGAACTTACAAAAAATCAGGATGTTCTTTAAAATATTGGAACTGTCTAGTGAAAAATAGTAGCTTTATTTTCACTTTTATAGTCTACCTAATTGGTCTTACCCTGGGCTCAAAGGCAACAACATTGATTTTTTTAAGCTATAAAAATGTGTCTACATCTTTCACCAATGTGTTTTAATTTTTTTGTACAACATGGACCAAATATGTCAAAGAAATCTAATTTTAAAAGTGATTGTCTGCTGCAACAAACTTTAGAGGCTGTAGGTGGCAAGTAGCTGGAATGGGTTTCAGGCATTCTTAAAGCAAATACTAGAAGTGTCAGATCTTAGAACCACTATGTACTATTATGTTTTCAGTAGGTAGAATAAAGATTGCTGAATGTTTTTCTGCAGTGTCCTGTTCTTACTTATTTATTTTTTAAAAAGATTTTATTTATTTCTTTGAGAGAGAGAGAGAGAGCACAAGCCAGGGGGAGTGTCAGAGGGAGAATCAGACTCCCCACTGAGCAGGGAGCCTGATGTGGGCCCATCCCCAGACCCTAGCATCATGACCTGAGTGGAAGGCAGAAGCTTAACTGACTGAGCCATCCAAGCGCCCCTCCTGTTCTTATTTAAATGTGCTTTTCATAATTGTAGCACTCTTAAGACCTCCTGAGGAAAAGATTTGACTTTGACTCCATGTTTTTGTTTTCTTATACCGCTAATTTTGAATCAGTAACCAGAACAGTGGAAAGATAAACTCAAGGTTAAAGCAATCAGTGAATGACAGCGAGAAATAGCATGCATTATAAAGAGTCTTTTTAGGACTTGTCTTCTGAAGTTTTTATATCTTCAGCATTGATCTGTTAAAGCTTCCAGGGTACTAAGTATTCTAGTAGCACAGAAAACATAAAATATGCATGTTTCATCAAATTTCTGATTTGAGAGTAGCACTTTTGTAGATGTTTAGAAGTACTAATATGGAATATGTGAATTCAGCGAACACATGAGTATCAGTCTAACCAGGAAACAGACACTAAGGATTTAGAGTAGAGGGGTCTTTAATGCAGGAAATGGTTACACAGGTGTAGAGCTGAGAAGCCAGACAGGGGACCATGAGGCAATACAGGGGTTAACAACAGTAGGAGTGCCTGCCATGCTTGGGTCAGAGGGACATTAGAAAAAGCAAGGCTGTATCACATTCTGTGGGCTGAGTTTACCCAGAAATTGTTGGAACCATAGTAGAACTGTCAAGAAAACTTAGAGCAATGGAGAAGATGCAGATGCTCCTGGAGACCACTCTGAGAGTAGAAAAGGCAGGCAGAGTAATCCTTTGGCTTCTCCTTTCCTCCCTCCTTCAGTCTCCTACAACCAGTGTCTCCCTTTGGCTGAAACCAGCTGGAAGCCTGCTAATAGGGTTGTCCTGGAAACAGGCTGTTCTGTGATATGGAGCAGATCAGGGAGATGGCCAAGAGTGGATGTTAAGGCAAACAGATCCAGGCCTGATTCAACTTGTCAACAAACCCCAAAGCACTAATTACGGGCTACATTTTTAAAAAAGATTTTTATTTATTTGAGAGAGAGTGAGAATGAGAGAGATCACAGAGGGAGAGGGAGAAGCAGACTCACCGCTGAGAAGGGAGCCTGATGCGGAACTCGATCTCAGGACCCCGAGGTCATGACCCGAGCCAAAAGCAGATGCTTACCAACTGAGCCACCCAGGATCCCCTATGTGCTACATTTTTAAAAAGCCATAAAATTTGGGGAAAATTTGAATTTAATTAAAAATGTGGGCTTCAATGTTACATGATTTTTCACAATTTCTTTGTTAAGTTCCTTCAAATAAATATGTGCCTAATTTTTAAAATATTTGCCTAAATTTTTTAAAACTTTATTTATGAAAGTCATGGAGTTGAAAAATTAAAATTGCATGTTCAAGGTCATATTTCTAGTAGGTACTGAAGCTCAAACTAAAGCCAGACTTTCTTTCTTTCTTTCTTAAGATTTTATTTATTTATTTGACAGAGAGAGACACAGCGAGAGAGGGAACACAAGCAGGGGGAGTGGGAGAGGGAGAAGCAGGCTTCCCATTGATCAGGTAGCCCGATGCAGGGCTCAATCCCAGGACTCTGGGATCATGACCTGAGCCGAAGGCAGAAGCTTAATGACTGAGCCACCCAGGCGCCTGTAAAGCCAGGCTTTCTAACAACTTATCCAATGACTTTTCCCCATCCTCTGTTGAAGGTTTCATATTAAAAGCCAATCTAAACACCAAGGTTCTATGTGTTTCTGATGTTTATGAGCTTTATGATCTTGACCAGTTCTTTTAATCTCTCTGAACTTCAGTGTCCTCATAAGTCAAATGGGAATAATGATGCCCAAAATGCCTGGCAGGGAAGATGTATCAAAAAGATGAGAAAATATATGGAAAGCTCTTAAAAAATTTTCTGAGACTGTGTGAATTAAGGTGTTTTTAATTGCATGTAAGGAAAATAGAATTACTTCACCTTTCTTTTCATAAATACTTTAAAGATAATTCTTAAATTGGACAGTATTCCAAACCATTTTCCCTTTCACCTTTACTTTTCCTGCTTTTTGCTTAATGAATTACTTATTTTAAGGTGGATTTTGTGTTAGATGATGTACTAATAGGATTGAAAAAGGATAAATATTTAACTTAGAAATTACAAATTTAACAATTTCATTGTGGAAAACACATTTAGAAAACATTGGAATTGCTCCTCTTTTGTTCCTCTGAATCTAGATCAGGAAAGCAGAGAAGGCTTCAAAGATATCTAAGGAACAAACACTAATAAAACAACACAAGCAAGTGTGGTGGCAGGAACACCAACGGCTAACTGATGTCAGGTAAGAACTGAGGAAAATCTCTACAAGAACATGTGAGACTTGCTAAGAGTTGCACTTAGATGTTCTATAACTTTCGATGTTAATTAAACCATTAAAATTTAAAGTTACAGTTTGTGAGTCAAATTAAAATTCCTTCATTTCCTCAATGTAATTTGAAATCCAGCGAATACACTAATATGGCTTTTCCTTTCCTTAGGAAGAAAAAAGATAATCTTCTATATCTGCTGATCATTTAGTCTTCTGTACTCCCTCTCATACTTGTAATTATTCATATTGCCCTTAGCACATTAAATTATAATGTCTTGTTTACATGTTTGTTTTCCCTATGAAGTGGCAAACAAGGGCAAACATCCCATCAGTTTTATCTTTTCATTGTAGGATTCATAGGAGGAGATACAGAAATGCTTTCAATAAATGAATGAACGAATGAACTAAGGGGTTCAGGTTGTTCACTGATTACTAGATGTAGCTGCATCATGACTAAGTTAGTCAATTTGCATTTTTGACTTTTGTTATTATTTCCAGCACTTGTTTCAAGATGAAGCAACAAAATAATGATTCTATCCTTGTTCTTAATTGTAATCTTTGAAAAATACATTTCTTTCAAAGGTCAGGGCAAAAAGAGAAGGCAGATGTGTTTCCCCTCCATTGGAAGCATATATGCTAGTTTTAATGATGGTGGTATTTGTAAAATATGCTTTTAAAAATGTATGTTTTTAATCGTATATTTTATATCAAAGTAAATCATTTTGTGGTCTTATTCTAAGTCAAATTTCCAAGGGTCATTAACTTTACTTTTGATGTAGGTACTTTTCAAATTAGTAGGAGTTTCTTATTCTGGCAAGAGGTTCCTAACTGTGAACTAAAAGGCTCATGACTGGATATGGTTTTACATCATTGTATAACTTAAGACATAGAAAAAAAAATTATATGCACTTTGTCACCATGCTGCTGACATAAAAACAAATCAGACCCATTCTATCTCTCAAAAAATCACCTTTTATGGAGAGAATGAATGAGCCCATTAGAATTTTTTTTTTTCAAAATTTGCATGACTTGGTAGAAAGGAAAGCCATTAGAAAGTTTTTATTATGGCGCTCCCTGATGAAAGCTCAGATGTAAAGGAAGACACCGGCAAAAGTTTTTACCTTGGCCGTTCCACACTTCTAACTGTGTGCATTAGCTGTTTTAGAGCTAGATAGAAGAGGCATATCCATATCATTGTGGGAAATAGTTATTTTGGTTGACCTGGAATGGCACAAAGGCAATGGAAGGGAGGAGCTTTCAAGTCATAGCCTTAATGTCTTGAAACTTGTAAGTGCTGAAAATTGGACAAAAAGAAGAATTCTAAGGTAATTTTCTGTGTTATTCTAGAAAGCAGACTAATTTCAATATGTTTTCAGTGAAATTAAAAACTAATAATGAAAGGAGGAAAATTAGAGAAGTGGCTAGATTTGTGCAGAATTTAGGGACCACCAGAAAATGAGTGTGAACTCTAACCTTTAAAAACCTAATAAAAGGGGCGCCTTGGTGGCTCAGTTGGTTAAGCGACTGCCTTTGGCTCGGGTCATGATCCCAGGGTGCTGGGATCGAGCCCCACGTTGGGCTCCCTGCTCGGCGGGAAGCCTGCTTCTCCCTTTCCCACTCCCCCTGCTTGTGTTCCCTCTCTCGCTGTCTCTTTCTGTGTCAAATAAATAAATAAAATCTTAAAAAAAAAATAAAAACCTAATAAAAGATTAAAAGTAAAGTATTTTTATGCCTTACCATAAGAGAGTCCATTTGAGAATCTCAGGCCTACAGAAGGTAGGGGACTACAATGACATTGAACTTTTGTGGGGTTATTTAGTATGTGGCAGGTAATATGGCAAATAATTTATATGCTTTATTTCATTAAGTCCTTATGACAACCCTACAGAGTAGGTGTCATTGCTCTCCCCACTTTACAGGCGACAATCTTGAGTTTCAGAGGATCAAAGTTATTCACGGAAGGTAAATCAGCTAGTTTATGTGAAGATGGCATTGGAGCACTTGCCTTTAACTCCTGTGCTCCATGAACTTGGAGTTCAGAAGCTTATTTCCCCCACAGGGTTCCATTCATATCACCCGAGGCTCTAATTGGTCTAATCTTGCTAGAAAAAAAAATTTTTTTTGCCAAACTTTAATTCTTTGAAATCTGTCCTCAGGAAAGTAGACACATAAAATTTCCAGATATATAATACTTAAATATAATATTTAAAATATATAATATTTAAATTTATAAAATTTCATATTAAACTTATAAAATTACATTTAGTATTTAATATGCTTTCTCAAACTATACCCTCGGAGACCTTGATATACTCTCACAGGGGCACTTGCTCCCTTGTTCCAGAATGACTGGTTTAGAGATTAAGGAAGGAGTTATTTATATCGACCATGTGATAAAGAATTACAATTTTTATTTTAATCAGAATTGTTGAATCATAAAATTTGAAGGGTTTATTTGTACACTTTACTACTTGTATGATAATTCCTACAAGGGATGTTTTATAACCAAATCTCTGTTAGAAATACATGTAGTCTCTTGCTCACAGTTTTATTTTTATTTATTTTTATTTTTTTATAGTTTTAGTTTTAAAACATTATTTTGAAAATATCTCCTTTTTACAGAGGATATCATGGGGTTTTAACAACAACAATTAAATGTCTATAAATGCATCTTTAAAGATAAAATTGACACCAGTATTCACACTGTGCAACTCAGAGCCTCAAAGAACTCTAAGCCTGGCTCCTGAGTGTCTTCCCTGGCCATTGGTTGTGGGACTCCCTGCTCTGTCTCTGTGGTATGCTTGCTTGGGACAGACTCTTTCAAGTGAGAAGTGGATCAAATAGCTGAATGTAAGGAACCAAGCTATCTGACCTGCTGAGTTCCTTCCCTATGGAAGGGACAGAGCTTTGACCTTCAGCCTGCTCTGGTACCCTAATTTTCTGTAGGTCTCCTGGCTGTTAGTTCCATTAATGGAACTTTAACATACTTTCTTGCTCTGCCTTTCATGATCCATGTCCCTTTGCTTATTGTTTGCTTATGGCTTCTGCCTCTACCATTCTTGTACCCCATGTTTTGTTTGCTCTACCCAAACTGGTAACTAAGTGGTTACTCTAGAAATCTCAGGAAGCTCTGGCGATGTTTGATGTTCTGAGGAGACTGATTCTACATCGAGAACTTTGGCACCATCCTGGAAGGATGAGGACCTATATGGCAGTAGACTTCTGAGAGTTCAATAACACCCATCACCAGGTTGGCTTACCTTGCGGGTGATTGCATTGCGACGAGGCAGATCTAGGAAGTAGATTAACATATCATCTAGCAAATGGTCACACAAAAACTCAGGAGACTTTTTTGTAGTACCATCACATTCACTGGTAACAGAGGATAGGCCAAATAGCATTAGGAGGTACTTAAATTGGCAAATTTGGGCATGGAAAGCCGCCTTACATTTGTTCACTCTTAAGATGGGGAAGATGTTGTACGTGCTGCAGAGTTCCAACTTGGAGAACACCCGGGACCTGGTCTAGCATGTCAGTGATGAACAGGGTAGGGTTCTATTCTCCAGAGTTCCATTGTTAATGCTCTCGAGTCCACTAGAATTTTTTTAAAAGATTGATTGATTGATTGATTGATTTTAGTGGGGAGGGGAGGGACAGAGGTAGAGGAGGAGAGAGTCTTAAGCAGATTCCACGCTGAGCATCGAGCCCTATGTAGGGCTCGATCCCACAACCTTGAGATTATTACCTGAGCCTAAAGAGTCAGATGCTTAATAGACTGAGCCCCCCAGGAGCCCCCCAGTCACAATTTTTATATTTCCTATATCATATTCTACAAAACAGAAATATTCTTCAAGATACTCCATTGAGAGTAATGAATTTCATATTCCTATAAATTAGAAAATATATTTCCTACCCTTTTTGGATAATCTCAATGCACTTTACCATAATCAAGTTTTCGAGAAATCCTATACCATAGAAACATACCTGATTTTGTTTAGTTTACTATTTCCCATTCCCCCCAACCCCAGCTTCTCGTTGACATTATTGTTTTATAGAACACAATTAAGGAAATGTTAGCTTATATTTACAAGCTAGTTTCAGAGTCTCATAGTTCTTGAGGGCATAAAAAAATGCTTTTGGATTTTGTTGGGCAATCAGGACAATCAGAGAAAAGGCCTGGTCTTGGCAGATGGGTTAGGTTGTGAATCTAGGAAAACAGGATGGAACTTACTAGAATTATTACATACAAGTAGCAGGTTGGTCTCCTGTATGAACAGTTCTCCTGTTGGCTTGTATGTTTTACTATGGTTTTCTGGATGCTGAAAATTTAAAGGAACTGAGCTGGACAATTGATAAGTGCTATGTTTTTGTTTAAACAAATCCACCATGAAATAAATTCTGGTTTTATTCCACTATTATGTACCCCTCCTCCATGTAGTAGTTTCAAATATATTTCTGGCAAAAATATTTCTGGCAAAAACTACATATTAAAAAAGTAGACAGTGAAGTGTCATCTACAATAGCACTCCTTTATAGATACGAAAAAAACCTCTGTCCCACGTAAGTGAGTTGGCTTAGAAGATGGTGGCACTTATATAAAATAGAATATGATGTGGCCATTAAAATAAATGGTAATTGTGAGAATTATTAGAAGTATCTTAAAATGTTACTGAAAAACCCCAATAAAAAATGGTAAATATGCCATAATTATAGTTATTTAAAATATATATGCATGTAGACAAGGACTAGAAACATATGCAAAAATAAAAATAATCATTGTATTAAAGGATTGTAATTGATGCTATTTTCTTATTTTATACCATTTCTAATATTATATTTTAGCAATCATGATAAATCAAAACTCTTTTCTATGATTTCATTAAATCTGCCATAAGCAAGGGATAGGCTACAATGTTTTTGGATGTCCATTTAGAGCTGGTTATGGTTTTATTCTAAAAATGACTATATCTAAATAATATGATAAAAAGTCATGAAGATGTATTACCTTTATTAATGTATAAAAATAAAACATACTTGTACTCCCATTTCCCTATTTCAGGACCTCATCATCTCTTAACTTTTGAAATAACCTCCTTGTTGGTCCAGGTTTACCTGATCCCCTCCATCTTCATTTTCTGTTTTATTGACCACCTCTCCTTTCAGCCCATCCTCCACTTTGCTGCCTTGCATCTTTGTGAAACACAGATCTGTTTGGCAGGTGAGGTCGGCTTAATTACCCTCAGTGGCTTCCTACTGTCCTAAGCTCTTTCTACACAAAGCAGTGCTAGGATGTGTCATGTGTTTGCCTTTGCTCATGCTGTTACATCTGCCTGGAGTGTTCACTTATCTTTCTTTCTATCTCAGTGTCTGGCAAGTGTCCAACCCACGTTAGGAATTTAGTGTATGGTCTGAATAAATGAACAGCTGAATGGGACCACATTAGATTAAATTTCTACTAGTTTTTTAAATCTATATATGTTCACAATTATTTAAAAAGATTGATGGAGATAATGTCTATTTCAGATGTAAAATGGAATCTGAAATTAAATCCTTTCTCAGTGAAGAGAACATTGGAAATGAATGTCTTTCTGACCTTACAAATTTTGGTGAGTTGTTTTCTTTTTTGATCCTATATTTAAAGGGGAGTTTTGTTTTGAAGATGAAAGTGGGCCACTCACTTTAAGTTCTCTTACTATTAACTGCTTGTTTTTTTCTGAAGGAATCCAAAAGAAAATCTGCCCTCTAAGACCTGTTCTTGAAGAAACTTAAAATAATAATGTATTACCTGGATCTAATTTTGTTTCTCTATAGAACAAGAGTTATCAGAACAATGGTACACATATCTTAAAAATGTGATAAATCCTATTCAGCAGTTGAGAGCAGATCTAAAATACAGACAGCATCACATTTCACAGTATTCATACTCACATATTGTGCTTAACTCAGTGAAAGTACTGGAAGAGGTCAGTATATTACCTTTACTTCTAATAATGTAATATTTCATTTTTGTTCCAACTAGAACAGTTTGACATAAAAAACAAATGTGTGCCTTGTATTTAAATAGAAGTATAGCAAATTCTGTCTCTTCAGTATCTTAAAAATATCCCTGAATCTGTCCAAGCATGCTTATTTCTCTCCTGAAAAGTTACAATGGCCTCATGACTAGTCTCCCTGCACTCATTCTTGCCACTCTTCACAGCACATTTTGGGATTCTGCCTTCGGTGCAGGGAGATCAAGTCATCGCCCTGGTAGATCCCCTCAAGGCTCTTGCTGGCCCATAATTCCTTCCTAAACATCCTGCTGTCTCTCTTCTTAAACCTCATCTCTTGCCTGACACTCCCCCTTTCTCCTAGAGCTTGTCACACTGAGACTGGCCTCCCATCTATTCCTTATATGTGCCAGACTGCTTCTCATCTCAAGGCCTTTGCATCACCTGTTTTCTCTGTGCCACTGATGGCACTTTTTGCCACTTAGGTCTTAGCTTAAGTGTCCTCTCCCCTGAGAGGCCTGTCCTGATCATCCACATGAAAGAAGCTACAGTCATTCTCTATTACGTTACTCTGTTTTTATGTCACTTACCTCCTCTTGATAATTGTCTTATCTTTTTTTTTAAAGATTTTCCTTATTTATTTGAGAGAGAGAGAGCATGAGTGGGGCAGGGAGGAGCAGAGGGAGAGGGAGAAGCAGACTTCCCACCGAGCAAGGAGCCCAATGCAGGACTCAATCCCATGAACTGAGCCGAAGGCAGACACTTAACCGACTGAGCCCCCCAGGCATCCCTGGGTATGGGATTTTTAATGCCTTTTAGAAAATATATTATTTATGAAACCAATATAACAATATTACAGAATAACTGAAAAATAGTAAGAAAAATCACCTAAAAGCATACATCTAATGCCATTATGACTGTGGAGCTTATGCTCTAGTCAGGGGAGGTAGTCAATAAACTAATAAAAAAATAGATAAGGGGCGCCTGGGTGGCTCAGTTGGTTAAGCGTCTGCCTTTGCCTCGGGTCATGTTTATGCTCTCTCTCTCTCTCTCTCTGACAAATAAATAAGTAAGTAAGTAAGTAAATAAATAAATAAATAAATAAATAAAATCTTAAAAAATTAACCCCATGCCCAGCTGGGGATTGGAGGCAAGGATGCAAAGAAGGGGCGATTGAACCAGAGACAATCTGGTAAGTTCTCTGCCTTAACACAAACAAAATCCAAATGAGGGTGCAGAGTGGCTATGACCCCACTGTACTTCCTAGGCCCATTTTTAGGATATGTTCTGGAAGCCCCCTCTGATAAGCACTGCCTGGCTATGGTATGTCTTGAACCCTTTTCCACAGGTCCTCAAAGAAACCTTCTCTTATCTGTATCCTCTAGATTGACTTCATGAAGAAACAATTGACTGCTATCTTTGAAAGACTTAGTCTGGAGCAACAGAAAATAGAAAATTATCTTTCAGACTGGAGTATGAAGGTAAGTGTGAGGTGTATAGTAATTTGTTTACCAATTTGTCATTTATGTTAAATAAAACCATCATATTTTTTTTTCAGATACTAGATTATTCTTCAGAAGAAAGAAGTAAACTGCTTAGTGAACTGCCCATGGAATTAGAAACTTTGGAATGCCCATACCCTGATTTGAAATCTTCAATTCTTCATGAGTTCTGTAACTTTACAGAGAAATATAAAAAAAAACTTCAAGACTTTGATCTGCAGTTAGAAGACATATCCAGGTGATAAGATAAAACTACTTGAATTATGTAGGTTTTTGCCACTACATTTTAATATTTATTATTTTAATTTCATTTATTGTTTTCATAGTTACTATGTGGTTGGAACATAGTCAATCAATAAATGTTTAGATTGACTATTTGTTGAATGAGGGTTCTCTTTCCTCCAAAATCATTTTCCTGAACAATGACTTCAAAGATTTTTACAAGGTTGAAATGGGACGAAAATAACCCCTCACTGAGCTCTTTACTGCATAATTAAGAAACAGTTTTCAAGCATGAACTTTCAGTAACTATGAAATTTGATTTTAAGGTGTGAAGCTCTTCTTCAGTGGAAATTTATAAATCAGTACTAATAATAATTGATGGCAATGGAAAATGTACCCATGGAATTATGTTGCTTGTAATCCACTGATTTGTCCTACAGTAAACACAAAGTATGTTTTATAAATTTTTAAAAACATGTTAAATTTTTTTTAGAAAATCGACTATTGGATGTATCCTGAGAATGACAAATCCTCTTCTGAATGACAAATACAATATTAGGGGATTTAAAATTCAGTTTTGGCAGGGTCATCTTCTGTAGTATAAATTCTGTATTAAAATTAGGTTAATGAACAAAGCCAGAAATGCCACCGTAGGTTAGATCATTAGCTAACCTCATGTGTGTTTTGTACATGAAGTTTCTGAGGAATATTTTATAGGAAAATAGGCCTTTTACTCTATTATATTGACCTGAAAATTTTCTTCAAAGAATATGTATTTTGAAAAAAAGGAAAACTATTGAAGGGACACATTTATAGTAAATTAAAGTAAGCTTTTTACTAAATTTCTTACATTTCTTAATGAATTGCCTATAAATGAAGCTCCTTTATATGAAATTGCTAGAGTTAAGAAATAAGTAACAACAAGGAAAACCTTAAATCCTACCAAGTAGAGTTCTTTGCTTTAATAGCTTCTTGATCCAACTCTGGTTACAGCTTCTACTTGTCTTCACATACTTGGAGAGGCAATCCTAGGTGAAGTTTGAATCTTTCCTGACCCATTGCTTTTTCTTACATCTCTATGGGGATGGTCATGTGTTCCTCCTAGGCATACACTTTTTGGTCTTCTAAGAGCCCCTTCTCTCCCCACTTCTTTGCCTTCCTTTTTTCCATCCCATCTTGCAATAAAGCTGGGGGGAAAATTAATAATATATCATTTATATGTGCTGATTGATTAATTAATTACACTTTAATTGAGACTCAATCACAATGAAATGTTAACTCAACCATGCCCTTAGGTGAAGTCTCTAATCATAAAATAAACATCCTCTCTCCCTTCCCCATCCCAACCTTGTTAAAGAGATTTTAGAGCTCATCAAGTAAGGAGAGGGGTTTCTGTTTTTGTTCTTTTGTTTTTCTAGGGGATGCATTATAACCAGGCTGCTTGTGGCTATGAAGAAGGTAAATTTGACTCCTTCCTTTTAAAGCATGTTGACTGCCCTATTTATTACCTTTCCTCTCAGATGTGTCTTGTCCCCCTAGGAAATCTGGTTGAGATTGTGGTCTTTCTAGGTTAGTAGCTCCTAAACATGGAAGAGTTTGCCTTAGCAGCCTATAGTGGATCCTTTCCACTAACACCTATCCTTCACAGCCCATTTTCCTACTTTCCTTTTCATGAGAACTCAGTTTCTGCTCTTCCTTTGTACAAGGCTGTACCACTCAGAAAAAGTTGAGATTCACAGTTCCATTGCCAATACTGAGATTTAGGTAGAGAATAAGATGAATATTTATCACATGCTAAGATTTCTGCATTGGGAAGGCACACTGAGGGAAAAATAGCTTAGGAAAGCCTAGTGGATGAGGTGAAGTTTACTATGGAGTTTAAAGATTGAGTAGGATTAGAATAAGGCAGAAAGGGGGTAGGGAGGACATTCTAAGAAGGGATATTAAATGATTAGACTGTAAACCCCTTGAAGACAAAATAATTTATTAGCAATATTTACTAATATCCTTAGCACCTAGCACATCCTGGCACATAGCAGCTTTCAAATAAATGATTGTTTAGTTGATTTGAATTAAAGGTGAAAACATTGAAGGTGAGAGGGGCAAGGCATGTTATAGGAGCAATAGGAATCCGCTTTGGAGGAATATAGGTTCATAAATTCTAGCTTAAGAGTCTGCTTGCCACATGTAATTATCCAAAATAAATTTTATATAATTACTGATATGTTTTACTAGATGAATATTTATTGGGTAATCCTTAACATATAGTGGTTTCTGCTGAGCTCCTTGGTAGGGGGGTAAACAGACAGACTAGACTAGAATATGGCCTTGCCTTTTAGAAGGCTTAGAATGTTTAGGGGAAGCAACATATACACATGTATCCTGCCCAAATAAAAACTATATGCAAACATCAACCGAAGAGATGATTTTATAAATATGCTGGCACTGAATGATGAAGCATCAATAAAAGTGAATTGAGTTTTCAGGAGTAGTCTCTTTGAGGAAAAAGAGAGTAAATGGGCTATTTTCAATAAATATGGAGGTCGTTGGCATCAGCAATCTGTGGCTGGTGGGCAGTAAGTCATATAAATGTACTGTTCTAATTCACACAATGAATTATATGTTTAGCTATAATACTCATTGGACTTAGAGTTTGCCAGTACCTGCCACTATTTTGATATGGCAATTTCCCGTTTTGGTTCTAGTTATTAGGCCTTGTGAGAATCATATAGATTGTGTACATATATGTACACACCTATACAAGCGAGTGGATGCTTGTTTTAAACAGATGTGTAGTGCTGTGACATAAGAAGTTTGAAATATCTGGGGGACATTTTTAAATTATAAAATTTTCATTGGGCTAAAGGCAGTTGACCATGGTTAATCCCAACATTTATTTTAATTCCTTCTATTTTGTCGCAGCTCACTGGTTTGGGTTGGAATGACTCTATCCCCATATCCAAAGGTAGGCTCTGGTGTTAGGAGTGTGTACCAGTCAGTAACCTCATTTCCCCAAGGTACAGCAACTAGATTTTACCCTGAGTGACATAGGAAGCTATTGGAAGCAGAAGTGTGAGAGCAGTGTGAAGTAACAAGAACTAACTTGGGTTTTAGCAGGATCACTTTGGGAGTTGCTGTGTTTAAGATGGAGATAGAGAGGGGCAAGAAAAGATTGAACACTTAGGAGGTTATTTAAGTAACCCAGGTGGGGGGCGCCTGGGTGGCTCAGTTGTTAAGCATCTGCCTTTGGCTCAGGTCATGATCCCAGGTTCAAGGGGATCAAGCCCCGCATTGGGCTCCCTGTTCAGTGAGGAGCCTGCTTCTCCCTCTCCCACTCCCGTTTGTGTTCCCTCTCTAGCCGTCTCTCACTCTGTCAAATAAATAAAGATTAAAAAAAAAAAAGTAACGCGGGTGGGAGATAATGGTGGCCTGGATCAGGAAGTGGGGATGGTATGAAATAGCCAGCTTTTGAACATATTTTAAAGGTAGAGCCAACAACATCTGCTGACAGAGTTCATAAGATGTGTGAAAAAGAGCAACAAAAGAATAATCCAAAGTTTTTGGGTTGAGCAACTGGAAAGATGGAGTTACCATCAACTGAGATGGGGAAGACTGTAAAAATAGTAGGGTTGGACTTTGTGGAAGACCAGGTGTTCAGATTTGGACATACTGAGTTTGAGATGCTGTCAGGTATCCAAGTACAGGTTTTGTGAAGGCAGTCAGAAATGTGAATGTGGAGTCCAGGAGAGAGATCTGAGCTGGAGATTCATATTTGTGAGTCATTGCCATGAAATCAGGTGTGATCACCAAAATAGCGAGTGAAGAGACAAAGGAGAGAACAAAGATCCCTAGGATCTGCTGGCATTAAATCATCAGCAAGGAGAGGGGTACCAACACTGGATGCTGAGAAAAGGTCTATGAGATGTGAAGAAAACCAAGAAACTGTGTGTCCAGGAAGGCAGGTGGAGAGGGAGTGGTCAGCAGTGTGAGCTGAGGAAGGATGATCACTGAATAAATGCTGCTAAGTCAAATAAAATATGACTGATAATTGAAGATTTGCTCTAGATGATAAACAACTGTTGAATCATTGGTAACCACTTTCATTGAAAAAGTGGGAACAAACGCCTAAGTGGGTTGGATTTAAGTGAGTGGGAGAAGAGGATTCAAGACAATGAGTATAGACAACTTTTCTGAGAAGTTCTATGTAAAGGAGAGCAAAAAAGTACGGTCAGAGTTTCATGTTGTTGATATGTCTTTTGTTTTGCTTAAAATGGGGGGAAATATTACTATGTTTGATGCTGATGAGAATAATCCAGTGTTGGGGTTTGGTACACAAGGAGAGGAACAAACAGATAGTTCATCTATTACAGTAACAGGTGGGGATGCACAGTATATGGGGCAGGTACTGAGAAGTGAATAGATATCAGAGTGGAAGTCCATGGAACTCTGGGTAGTAATTCCAAATACAAATGATAAAGAAATTTATGAAAACCTCTCTACTCATCAAAGCAATAAAAAATTTTTTTAAATGCTCAGATTTTTACCTATACAATGGTAAAATATAAAAAAATTATCCAAGGTTGAAATATGGAAGAAATGGGCATTTTTATACATGAATGGTACATAAATTCTTTTGGAAGGCAATCTGGCACTATGTCATCAAAAATCTTTATAAATGTGAGTAATCATTGTTTAGAAATAATCTTAAAGGAAATAATCATAGAAGTGAAATAAATAGTTGGCTTCAAGGATATTCAACATTTTTTTCCTTTCTTTAGTGATAGCAAAATCCTCAAAATGATGAAATAGCCAACAACTTGAAGATTACCTTCATCAATTATGATATATCCACATAATAGAATACCACACTGTTATTAATAATTATATTAAACAATTTTTAATGATACAAATAATTGCAATAAGTTGTTATGCAATTAGAAATTAGGCCACAAAGTAGTGGATTCTCTTTTTTTTTTTTCTTTTCCCTCTGAAAGTGTTACGTTTATAAAGCTGCAG